CTTCAGGGCTCAGGTGAGACGTCACTTCTTGAGGGAGGCCCTCCCTCACACCCTGCCCCAGCGTAGTCACCTCAAGCACCCTGCCCTTGCTAACACTCATGATCCTTCCAGCTCACCCCTCATTGACTGCATTTCTCACTCACTCTCCAGCCCCCAACTAACTCAGGGTGGGGTACACTTGGAGCTGTGTTAGTGTCTCGGGGCTGCCATGAAAAGCCCCACAAACTGGGTGGGTTGTAAGGATAAATTCCGTGTCTCACAGCCTGGAGGCTGGGAGTCCTGGGCAGGGGGTCGGCCCTGCCGATTCCTCCTGAGGTTCTGGGTGAGAACCGCTCCTGCCTCTCCCAGCTGCTGGTGGCTCCCGGCCCTCCTCAGCTGCACTGTCACGTGGTGTCCCTGCTCTGTCGCTGTGTCTCCTCTCCTCTTTGATAGGGACACCCGTCGTGTAGGACCAGGACCCACCCTGCTCCAGTGTGACCTCACGTTAACTGACACCACCTTCAAAGACCCAGTTTCAAACTTGGTTCACAGGTGGGGGGTTAGGACTTCAAATGTCTTTCGGATGGGGGCACAGTTCAATCCATGAGAGTGCTCAATAAATATCTGTCGAATGAGTGGACAGTTATTCTTCTTTTCTGAGTCTGTGGCTCACAGACCTCCTTCTGAGGGACATTTTCTTAAAGGAATACTTATCCTTTAGTGTCCACATGCAGGTCCTATCTTGGGAAAAATAGTGGCTATTTCATGTGACTTTGTAAACCTCTAAGGAGCTCTGGTGGTGTAGTGCTGAAGGCATTTGGCTGGTAACCAGAAGGTCAGCAGATTGAATCCACCAGCCTCTCCACTGGAGCAAGATGAGCCAGTCAGCTTCTGTGAAGACTGACAGCCTTGCAGACCCTGTGGGACAGTTCCACTCTGTCCTCTAGGGGTGCTGTGAGTCAGAATCATCTCGCCGGCAGGGAGTTTTCTATAAACCTCTGCTCTGATGATGATGATGGTGATGCTGATAATAATTCCAATAATAACCATGCCAGTAATAATACTAAGTGGCTACCATTAGTTGAAGGAGACCTGGTGGTGCAGTGGTTAAGTGCTATGCTGCTAACCGAAAGGTTGGGGGTTCAAACCCACTCAGCGGCTCCTCGAGAGATGAACCTGTTGATCTGCTCCCATGAAGATCCCAGTTTAGGAAATCCTACTAGGTAGTCCTCTGTCACATGGGTTGCACCCCCACCGCCAGCGCCCCCGGAAGTGAGCAGCCACAGTGCCAGGAGCCACACCAGGGAAGCTCTCGTCAGCGCTGCTGCTCTGGGGCCTGGTCACGTGCCGACAGAGCAGCCAAGTGACCTTTACAAACATCGGGTCGGAGAGAACAACCTGCTGAAAGCCATGGGCCGTGACTCCAGGACGTGCGGCCAGGCTGGCCTGCCTTTAACTGGGGCTCGTGAAGGTTACCTCCCAGACAGCGGTCCCGACCCCCTCGGCAGGGAGTCCTGAGGGGCGCCCCCTCCAGCTCTTCCATCCTGGAGGGAACCATGGAGAAGGTTCCTGAGCCCCTGACCTTGTGCTGTGCAGCTTTGGGAGGACAGCTGACCCTCTGTGATGTCCTGTCCTTTGCAGTTTTGACTCATTTGAACATTGCCAACTTCTTTTGTACTTATTTTAAGCCTTAAAACCACCTTGCTTGCCAGGAGCCTGCTTGCCTGTGAACCCCCCGATGTACAAACAGAAGGCTGTTAGCAGTGTGGGTCACAGCAGAGACCAGGCTGCCCGGGGCTCAGCCCGCACGGCCGTCATCTGCTCTCGGGTCGCAGGAGGGTCTGGGGCCTCTAATGCAATCGTCCGGTTAGAGGTTGGCCAGCTGGTGCCATTGCATCTGTTCTCAGAGGTAAGTCCACTCCGGGAACACCCTGAGCAGAGATTCCGGGGGTGGGCTGGGCAGCTAGGGGCCACCTCCTCTGGATCTGGTCTGGCCTTTTATTTCCCGATGTTTCATTAGACAGCATTACGCTGGCACCGTGTTATCACTACAAAAAATTGCCTGTGAAGCAGGGCGACCAGACAGACCCATTAAGGACGTTTTCATGCGCTGTGGCGAATGCAAGCAAGGCCAGTGAACAACGTGGGTAGAGGTTACTGAGTTACTGAGCGGGAAACTGCAGTGCTGTGCAGCCTTCACTGAAACACAATCAAATAGTATTTTTAAAATCTCTTTTCCAAAGTATATACTTTCATACTAAACAATGTACCTGAGCCAGGGCTACAGCCTCCATCTGAGTTCCTAACTTCACTGGCACAGTCGGGCTTGGACCCTGCTCCGAAAGCTGCCGAGAACCGGCCCGTCAGGCCGAGCTGGGTTGGGGTCATGGGGTAACCTGGGCAGGGACGTAACCTGAGTCTTGGTTGCCTTGAGTCAGACTGGGCCTCGTAGGATGTGCTCTGCAGGGTTGGAAGGATCTAATCACATGGGGAATAGGCGGTTCTGGGCAGAATTGCCAGGACCTCTGGTGGCATAGTGCCTAAGGCATCTGACTGCTCACCAGAAGGCTGGCAGTTTAAACCACTCCTCGGAAGGATGGTTGGGCAATCTACTTCCGTAGTGATACTGCCTCAGAAACCCAGGGAGGGGTCGCTATGAGTTGGATCCAACTTGACGGCAGTGAGTTTGGTTTTGGTTTTGACCCGGCGCTCAGCAGCTGCTAACTGCGAGGTAACAGCAGGCACACGTGGACTGAGTGCGTGTTGCATGCTGGGTGCTGGTGATGACATATGTGGGTACGTGTCAGTGCACAGGACCCCAGACACACGAGACAGATCGGGGACAGCACTTATTCCTCAGCCAGCATCTTCGTCCCGTCACAGAGGTGAGTCAGTGGCTGCGTGTGTGAGTGTGTGTGTGTCTGCGCGTGTGCAAGGCGCTGGGCTAGGAGCTCTGTGTTACCCTGTGATAGAGGCCCCACGGGCACCCTGTGGAGGTACTGGGTCATCCCCATTTTACAGATGGGGAAATAGAGGCTGGCAGAGGTCAGTAATGGGACCAGGTTCCCACCGGCCGGGATCTGAGCCCAGGAGGCTGACAGTGCTCCCGCTCCACTGCACTGTCTATGGAGCTGGCCGCACAGCAGCGCTTCCCAGCTTTTCAGTGAACGCTCTTTCCCCTTAGCCCGGGCTGCCTTTGCCACCAGCTCTGATTCTGAAGACATGATGCCGTGAGATCTTCCCTTCCTGCCTTGAAAAGGGCTCCGATGTCTGTCCGGTTTGACAAGCTCTCGCTGTAGTCAGGACGCGCTGGCCTCCAGGGGCGCTGAGCGAAAAGGCTGGGCTCTCTGGAAATGCACCAGCAAGCTTTCAATGGTGAAAGATCTGTCAATGGCCAAAAACCCGGACCCCAGGTGCACATCAGCCGACTCACCACTGGGGGCCGCTGCAGCCCATCCAAGTTAGGAATTGTCCTTGTGCCTTCTTGCTCTGGAAACCCCAGCGAGACGTGGAGCTTCCTTTTCAGTTGTCCTGGAGGAAAACTAGCACACGGCGTGTGCCCTTAGTTTTGTCTGTTGATTGCAAAGCTGGCTGAGGCAAAAACCACCTCTTTTCCTTTGGTGAAAGACACATCAGAACACGTTCCCACTGAACATCTGCACATTGTTCCTGACTGGTTGCGCTCCCCACGGTGTCAATGCTGTCATTCTCTTCTAGTGCCTCACCCCCCTGGTTTAGACTCACTGGCCCCTCGACGTCTCACCTGCGCCTCCAGTCACTGCTGGACTTCTGGGCCACGTACAGGCACCCCTCAGAAAAACTGCGGGCTCAGTTCCAGACCACAACAAAGCGAATATCGCTGTCAAGCGAGTCACATGACTTTTGGTTTCTCAGTGCGTACGAAAGTGTGTTGACGCTAGACTGTAGTCTATTATTAAGCGTGCAACAGAACAATGAAAAAGGGAGATAGTGTGAGAATGACCAAAACGTGACACGGGGACAAAGTGAGCGCGTGCTGTTGGAGCCGCCGCCAGCAGACTTGCTTGATGCGGGACTGACACAGCCCGCGGCTGGTGGGAAACGCAGGACCCACAGCGCGACACGACGACTCTGGCCCACGTTTGGCTTCTCAGCGGCCCTGTGAAATCTGCCGTTTGCCTCCTTTACTTCATCATTTCTTCCTTTGCTTGAGCTATTCTGCACCCAAGAGAATATCTCAGAAAATTCACTTTGGTCGTTTCTTTCTTTCTTCTCTTTTTACTGACCTTCCTCTTCTAGGACTGGTGTGCATCTAGGAAAGGGCCCTGGTGGCACAATGGCTAAGGCCAGCTGCTCAAACCCACCGCTGCTCTGCAGGAGAAATACAAGGCAGTCTGCTCCATAAAGATTACAGCCTGGGAAACCCTCTGGGCAGTTCCACGCCATGTTACAGAGTTGCGATGAGTCGGAATTGACTTGATGACAGTGGGTTTAGTTTTGGTTTTTTGGATGCAACTAGGAAATGCCCCCTTTATTGCTGTGTTCAGGGAGCGCGTCCATCACTGCCCCCTAGTGGCAGCACGCTAGGCCTGCACTCCTTCAAGCACTTCCTGTGACCCTCCTCTGGGTGGCCCCTCGGTGATGGGGATACGGATGTGAACAAGACAGACAGATTGCCCCCTTTGCGGTGCCCATACTTCAGATGCTTCAGCAGGACATACAGCTGTTGAGGTAAGGCCCTCTGGGGCCGCAGCGGGTAGGGCATTTGGCCGTTAACCCGAAGGTCAGCAGTTCAAACCCACCAGCTGCTCTGTAGAAGGCAGGCGGGTGATCTACTTCCATAAACATTTACAGCCTCGGAAACCCAACGGGGCTGGCTGTGAGTCAGAAGTAACTCGATGGCAGTGAGTTTGGTTTGGGTTTTGCATAGCTCTTGACAGTGGGGTCGTGTCAACTGACTGTGGACGGACGGTGGCACCAGTGACGTGACAGCACAAGGAGCACACGGGGTCACAGCCACGTTCCCCTGGTTCACTTTCCAGGCATCAGCGGTGGGCCCCTGGCAGACCACTACCGACTGAAGCAGTTCCACTTCCACTGGGGAGTGGTGGGCAAGAGGGGCTCGGAGCACACGGTGGACGCCCACGGGTACCCAGCCGAGGTGTGTAGGTGCTGTCACACCCACAAACACGTAGGAGCTTTCTCCATGCCAGGCTCTACTGCAGGGTGACCAGCCAGCCATGCATGCCGGCTCTGGGCTGAAGACCACGACCCTAGAGGTGCAGTGGGAAGCAGGGAGGGGGAGTGGAAATCAAGCCCTGGGTGAGGTTCAAGGTAGGGTCACTAGAGTTACCACATAAAAATACAGGCAGATGTGGGACACGGTGCACTGATTAAAGCATTTGGCTGCTAACCCAAAGGTGGGCAGTTCGAACCCACCAGCCACTCCTTGGGAGAAAGATAAGGCAGTTGACTTCTATAAAAATGACAGCCTTGGAAACTCTATGGGGCAGTTCCATTCTGTCCTGTAGGTTCATTATAAGTCTGAATTGAATGACAACAATGGGTTTTGTATACTGAAAAATTATGTTGTTTATGGAAAATTCAAATTTAACGGAGCGTCCTGTATTTCATCTGGCCACCCTCGTTCGGGGATCACTCTAAGGGCATGAGTGACCCCAGTGCCCTGTGTCCCCCCACCAGCTGCACCAAGGGTACTGCTTTCTGCAGCTTTGCCACAGATGCTGGTGATGCCAGGGCTGCAGCTTTGCCACCGATGCCGGTAGTGCCAGGGCGCCACACCCAGGCTCATCAGCTGAGTTCATTAAAATCAGTAACCCCTCTGTCCTGTGTTTGTGGCACGTGAGGGCAGGGTTGGTGGTGTTTCTCGCTGCACTGTGGTCAATTTCAATTCTCTCCCCACTGTGTTCCAGCTCCACTTAGTTCACTGGAATTCTGCGAAATACCAGACCTACCAGGAAGCCGTCCTGGGAGAAAACGGGTTGGCTGTGATAGGCGTGTTTTTGAAGGTACTGCTTGCTGGGCACAGGGCTCCGGGAGGAAGGGAGTTATTTGGATAACCCGCTTCCCGGGCGGCTAAGGTACAATGTGGTGTGCTTTTCCAATGCACGTTGCCACGTGTCTGCATGCAGCTGGGCGCCAGGAACAAGGAGCTACAGAAGTTGGTGGACGTCCTGCCGAAAATAAAGTATAAGGTGAGCACCATAGTCGTAAGTCAACGTGATGTGAAAAGCAAGGCTGTTTGGGTGAGTGGCTTGTTTCCAAGAGGGAGCAAAGTGGTTTCATGGAAAGAATGCAGCAGAGGGAGTCTAATTCCAGTTCTGAAACTAGAACCCCCCAAACCAAAACCAGTTGCCCTCTAGTCGAGCCTACTCACAGCACCCCTATGTGGCTCAGAGCAGAACTGTGCACCATGGGTTCAGTGGCTGACTTTCACAAGGAGGTGGCCAGGCCTTTCCCCCGAGGTGCCTTGGGGTAGACTTGAGCCTCCAACGTTTTGGTGAGCAGCCGAGCAGGCTCCAGAAATCAACTTGGGTGGCTCTATTTCCGTTAGCGTTAGCGGGTTCTCTGACTCAGAATGTGTCACTGGAATTCTTGGGGTCCTGTTTCCGCCTCAATAAAACAAGAGTGTTGGACTCAACTCGGGTTTCCCAGGATCCACCCAGGCAGTACCCTAGAGACGCTCGGCCTGCCTGCCTGCCACTGGTGTTATTCTTTGCTTGACAGTCTTCCCTCGGTTGATCAGCTCTCTGTACCTGTTACTCTCACCCTGAGCAATGACTTATTTCCACCACCCCACCCCCACCCCCACCCCCACCCCCATCATCAGTTTGTGGGGGCCTGTGTGTTGCTGTGATGCTAGAAGCTAGGCTGCTGGTACTTCAGATACCAGCCGGGTCACCCATGGTGGACAGGTGTCAGCGAAGCTTCCAGACTGAGACAGGCTTGAAGAGCAGCCTGGGGATCTGCTTCTGAAATCGGCTGGTGAGTGGCCGGTGAGAGGCTGGTGAAGCCAGTGAGAGGCCAGTGAGCGGCCGGTGAGAGGCTGGTGAGAGGCCGGTGAGGGGCCAGTGAGCGGCCGGTGAGAGGCCGGTGAGAGGCCAGTGAGTGGCCGGTGAGAGGCCAGTGAAGCCAGTGAGAGGCCAGTGAGCGGCCGGTGAGTGGCCGGGTGAAGCCAGTGAGAGGCCAGTGGGAGGCCGGTGAGAGGCCAGTGGGAGGCCGGTGAGAGACCAGTGGGAGGCCGGTGAGCGGCCGGTGAGAGGCCGGTGAGCGGCCGGTGAGAGGCCGGTGAAGCCAGTGAGAGGCCAGTGAGCGGCCGGTGAGAGGCCGGTGAGAGGCCAGTGAGCGGCCGGTGAGACGCCGGTGAGCGGCTGGTGAGAGGCCGGTGAGAGGCCAGTGAGTGGCCGGTGAGAGGCCGGTGAAGCCAGTGAGAGGCCAGTAAGCGGCCGGTGAGCGGCCGGGTGAAGCCAGTGAGAGGCCAGTGGGAGGCCGGTGAGAGGCCGGTGAGAGGCCAGTGGGAGGCCGGTGAGTGGCGGTGAGCGGCCGGTGAGAGGCCGGTGGACCACAACAGCAGGTGTTGGTACAGTGCCGGAAGGTGGCCGTGGACCGGAGCTGGCCAGTGACTGTGCGGAGAGTGCAGGACAGGGCAGGGTTTCCCTCTGTTGTGTACTGTGTCACTATGAGTCGGACCCCACTAGGGGCCCGCTCACCGAATCCCAAAACCGGATTTACTGCCATCAAGTCAATTCCGACTCAAAGCAACCCCCACTGGGTTTCCAAAGCTGCAATTCTTTCTAAAAACAGACTGCCCCATGTCTCTTCCCTGGAGTCTTGGTGGGTTCGAACCACCGACCTGTTTGGTTAGCAGCCAAATATCTTAACCACTACACTACCGCACCTCCTCAGACGGCAACTAGCAAGTAACATTTTGTTTTAAAACTGATACATAAATACCTAACTGTTAATGTCTAAGAATGTCCCCCTGCACAGGACCAGACATACTCCTTGGGACCCAACTCGGGTCACCCTGGGCCAACGAGAACCCGGAGTCCCAGGAAGAGGCAGGTGCCTGGCCTGCCAGCGGGAGCTGTCCTGACACACCTGGCCACACCAAGGACGGCTCCACCGAAGGCCACGGATGAACACGTAGCTTTTCTCCAAGACCAGCTGAAAAGGACTTTGATGTAGACTTGGAAATTCCAGAGAGATGTGGTTTATTTATTCTGCACCGAACAAGAAGGGAGACAGAGACCAGGCCAAAAGGAAGGAGTGGGCACACCTCCAGCCCGTGGAAACAATGGTGCAGCGGCCCCATGGGAGTGCGCGTGGAAGCCCGGCCAGCCCTTCCGCACTCTTCCCAGCGGACGGCATTTGATCTGTGCGGGGCGCCTGCCTTGATGTCAGCCTGCGGGGCTGGGACCAGCCCACCCGCTGCTCCAGCTCAGGAACTCCTGGGGTCAAGGTGCTGCAGCCCAACCTCTTCCTCACAGGCCCACAGCCAGAGTAAGCCCGGGCTGTTTTTCCAGCCGCGTCCGCCGGCGCGTCCGCGCTCACCTGGTGGGAAGGCTCTGGCTGGGAGGTTCTGGCTCCACCCGGGCTCTCCTTCCCTCTGCTGGAAGGCTCTGTGGCTAACTCGGGGTTCTGGGGGCAAACCCCCAGAGTCTGAGCGGAGGCCGCCAGAAAGCGTCTGGTGTAGACGCAGCCAGCAGGCTCTAGTCCCGATGCACCCATTCACCTGGTCCTCCACCCCAAAGCCAGGAAGTCAGACTCCAGAGTGCAGAAGCCCTGCAAGGTAGCCCAGCCTCAAAGTGCAAAAGTCTGGCCTTGGTAGGTCCCAGAGCAGGCAGGGACGCGCATGACCCTCGAGTCCAGCAGTTGCAAGTCTGGGATCCTGGGTTTCCAGAAGTCCACGGAGCTCCTGCAGCCTGGCCTGCACAAGGCGGAGGCAGACTCCTCAGTGAAGTGGCTTGGCATTGCTGAGCCCCTTTCCTTACCTGCAACATCCCTGTTCAGAGCGGCACACAGCCCCCGCTGCTCCTCAGAGGACAGGAGGCCAGCAGTACTGCAGCCCACAGAGAACAGTCCCTCAGCCAGGGTGTTCCATCAGGGCCCTGCTGAATGAGGGCTCCCCCAGCAGCCCTGGGTGGCCACCCCATCGTGCTGCCTTCCCTCCTGTCCTGTCCTCTCACTGGGGTAGTTAGCTTCGGAAGGCACTTCCTGTCTTTCTGATGTGGGATGTGCCCAAACAGGGAGGGGAAACGCCACTGGCGCCAGCTTCACCAGCAGAGATGCAGAGTGAGCTGTCTTCCCAGGTAGGTGACCACGGGTGCCCTGTCACACATCTGACCCGCCACATGCTAACTGGGACAGTCTTGCAGCCGACCAAGCCGGCCAGGTGCAGAGGAAGGGCCTACCTGGCTTTGAGGGCACATGAAGCAGCCTTCCCGGGGTCCCCTGGGCCGCCTGGACCCTGATGCATCTTAGAGGAGGCAGGGCTCAGTGGGAGTACATAGATGTCCTCCCCAGACGGGCCCAAGGCAGGAGCAGGGACCCTGGCACGCGATGTGCGAGCGCAGTAATCCAGGTCCCTAGCCTCGCCTGCTATCCGTGAGAAGGCAAAGTGTGGTATTGGAGTCGGAGGTGGTTCAGGAGACGGTGTCCCCGGGGTGGATGTGAGTTATTAGGAAGCCTCTTTCACAGAGAGCAGCCACCACAGCAGTGTCGTATGTTCACTGCCAGGCTGTACTCCTCATTCCCCACTCTCTCCCCAGCGCTTAGCTCCTAACCAAAAGGTTGACAGCTCAAACCCACACAGCCACTCCGAGAAAACCCTGTAGGCAGTTCTACTCTGTCCCATGGCATCGTTATGAGTTGACAATGACTTGACAACCCCTAACAACCAGCCCCCAGAGCCTGGTGATCACTGACAACTTTGGTCTGTGTGCCTCTGCCTGACCTGGACAGCCCGTGTCCACAAGATCAGACGGCATGTCTTTTCCGTCAGATCCCTTCCACTCGGCATCATGCTTGCAGGTCCATCCCTGTTGGAGCACGTATGAGGCCTCTGTTTCTCTTCAGGGCTGAGTAACATTCCACTGTGTAGAGGGACCGTATGTTGGGTGTCTATCACGTGTTGATGGGACACATGGATGGGTTCCACCTTTGGCTACTGTGAATACAATGAACACTGGGTGACAAGTATCCGCTTGAGTCCCCGCCTTCAATTCTTTGGGGTACATACCTCGGGGTGGGATTGCTGGTTCATGTGCTAATAGTGTATTTGACTTTTTAAGGAACTACCAGGCTGTCTTCCACAGCAGCTACAACAAAAAATGATTACAAGGGAAAATACAAGCCTTCTAGGGGAGCCCTGCTCTGTGTGGGGTGCGTGCACCTGATGGTGTCTGGACATGACGCCATGGCCTCTGTCTCGGGAACATGCTTCCTTCTGCGCAGTGTCAAGGTCACACCCCGAGCGGGATCAGTGGACAGCTCCCCATCTCCTCCACCTCTGCCTGAGGGCTAACATGCCCTGTGCTTCTGCCCCTCAGGACACACGGGCAGCCCTGAGCTCCTTCCAGCCCGCTGCCCTGCTGCCCTCCTGCCCGGACTACTGGACCTACCCAGGCTCCCTCACCACCCCTCCGCTGACAGAGTCTGTCACCTGGGTCATCCACAAGCAGCCCGTGGAGGTGGCTCCAGAGCAGGTGAGCTGCGCCTGTAACCCACCAGCAAAGAAGTCCTTGAGTGCCACTCCCACCAAGATGCATGAAGGATGTTTACTGACCCCTAGCCCATCACACGGACACATGCCAGAGAGGTCACAGCAGGTGTCCAGGGTCATCAGCAAAGTGTTTTTCCTCCCCTTTTTCTACCTAAATATTCTAATGTCTCTAAGTTGGGAAGATAGCACTTGTGTATTTTCTTAAACGTCACAGTATCTTTTTCTGGAAGTGTTTGGACTACAGAGGGAGTCCGGGCAGTTTACTTAGAGGTGGCAGGTCGACAGCCACTCTGCCACTCTCCTAGCTCTTACCTGTGGCAGACATTTCTAATCAACCACAGCACTATTCATCATCCCTATGCCAATGCAGTCTTTCTGAGGACTCTAGATGAGCTCTTAGAGGTGGTTCTTCTAGTCTCATGACGCTGTGAAAACATGCATCATGCCATCTGCTTTGCGAGGTGGACCTTTGGGTACAGGTGATGGGTCTGCTACCCAAGCCTGAACTGTTGAAGACACTAGGAAGGCCTTAGTTGAAAAATGGCCCCATGTCCCCAAGAGCCCTAATGTTATTCAACAAGCATTCAATAGGCACCCCCTGTGGGCCGGGTTCTGTGCCAGGAGAGGGTGGGAGGGGGAGGGGAAATAATGACTTAGTCTGCGCACTGTGGCCTGGGGAAGGAGAGCCCCAAGGCAAGAGCTGGGAGGCAGGGTGGAGAGGGGTATGCACAGGTACAGAGGCCCCTTAGTCTCCTAGGAGAACGGGGGAGGAGTATACGAACCATCTGGAAGGTGGGAGGGAGCGTGCCAGGTGGAGAAGAGGATAAAGGTGGCATTTCCGAGAGCGCCAAGGACACGTGCACTGCAAGGGAGCATGGCTGAGCAGCCTAGTGCCCGGTGCACTGCCAAGTCTAGCACCTCGCCACACACCAGCCACACGCGAAGGGCCTACCTCACGGCAACCCCGTGCGTGTCACAGCAGACCTGTGCTTCACACGTGTCCAGGCTGGTTCTCCAGGCCTCCCTTCCAAGGCACCCCTGCGTGGACTCGAGCCGCCAACCTTCTGGTTAACAGCCGAGCATGTGCCTGTTTGTACTGTCCAGGGCTCCCGGGGCACTTCACCAGCCGTGCAGCCCTAACTTGCCCGATAAATGGCCATTCTGTAGCTATGACCCCAAATCCATAGTTAACGAAATGTGTGACTTATCCTCACACAGCTCATTTATACATATTGAGAACAAGGGAGTTAGTAAGTGAAAAATGATCTTTTAGTTCTTTGAGTGAAAACTGAATCCCAATGTGACTTTCCGTTTACATCATATGTATGAGTTTAGCATTGATATTACACGTATTAGTTACTTGGACTGTAACAAATAGCTTGGACTGTAACAAATTGGACTGTAACAAATAGCTCCAAGGCTTAGTGGCTTAAACAACAGTAATCATGGGTTACCTCTCAGAGTTCCGTGGGTCTGGATGTCGGGCGACTGCCTTGGGACCTCTGATGAAGCTGAGGCTAGTCATATGAAAGCTTGATGGGGGCTGCAGGAGTCGTTTCCAAACTGGCTCACTCCAATGGCTGGGGAGCTGGCGGTGGCTGTTGGCTGGGGGCCTCAGTTCCTCTGTACAGCGGCCTCCCAGGGGCTGCTGAGTTCCCTCACAGCACGGTGCCCGGCTTCTCCCAGAGCAAGTGCTCCAGAGACCACAGTGGAAGCTGCAGTGCCTTTTCTGACCTGGCCTCAAGAGTCACCTCTGTAACTGCCACCACATTCCGAGGGTCACACAAGGCCACCCCTGACTCAGTGTGGGAGGGCCCCCACAAAGTCCTGACTGCCCCAGGGAGCTTTCGCACTCCGTCCCTGCGCCCGGCTTACGCTGGCTGTTCTCTTCCAGCTGTCAGCGTTTAGGACGCTCCTATTTTCCGCCCTTGGTGAAGAAGACAAGGTGATGGTGGACAACTACCGCCCACTTCAGCCTCTGATGGACCGCAAGGTCCATGCGTCCTTCCAGCCACTCAACAGGACACAAGCAGCTCTTCTCCACGTTAACGAGCAGAACTGACCTTCAAAGAGGAGTTGGCATTCCCCAAGTTTCATGATCTGATCCCATGTAACTTCTGAAATGAAAAAGAGAGAAAGAGACCATTGTTGTAATCAAGGTAATTCTCATTTCAAGTAAAGGAATCCATTTCCAAGAAGGTCAAGTACACGGGGAGCTTAATTCTGGGACACAGACATGTCACAGAACCCAGGGCAGGAGTCCACGGCCTAAGGGCTGGGCAAGCCACCACTGACCGAGGGTGTCACCTCAGCCCTCTCCAGATAGGGCCATGTGGTCCTTCCGTCCACTCCTCAGTGCATGCCCATTTCTTCTTCCTCTCTCCACATGGTGCCTCTGATTCCCCATGCTCACGGGCACCCGCTAGTTCCCGGGCAACACCCAGAGACTAAGAATAACTCCCTTCTTGCAAATTCCAGATTCCTGGGGGACAGGGGCACTCACTGGCCAAGACTGGGTTGCCTGGTTCAATTGACTGGTGAGGGGCAGTGTCCTGATGCTCTGTCTGTCCTGTCAGTGCAGGAGCGATCACCTGCCCGAAGTGGCATGAGACAGGCGCACACACAACCCCCGACACTGGACAAATGACGGTGATAGCAGTTAGTCACTTGTACTGAGGGCACAGGGGCAGACAGAGCCAGCAGGAAGCACAGGATGGAGCCAGCAGGGCCACAGGGGGCGACGGTGCCAGCAGGGGCCACATGGGGGGCAGGGCCACATGGGACAGATGGAGCCAGCAGGGGCCACAGGGGGGCAGGGCTACACGGGGCAAACGGAGCCTGCAGGCCCCACAGGGGGTAGGGCCACACGGGGCGACCGTGCCAGCAGGGCCACACGGGGCAGACAGTGCCAGCAGGGTTGCACAGGGGCAGATGGAGCCAGCAGGGGCCACATGGGGACAGACAGAGCCAGCAGGGGCCGCACAGGGGCAGATGGAGCCTGCAGGGACCGCACAGGGGGCAGGGTCACACGGGGCAGACGGAGCCAGCAGGGGCCACAGGAGGCAGGCTTTGTGGTAATGAGGGTGGGGTGTCCATGGCTCCCACACGAAGATGTGATTGGCTTGTTGGAAGAGTTTCCTGGGCTCACAGGAGGTTGAGGTGGGTGCAGTTGAGGATGTGTGGGGTGCAGCTGGCCCGACCAGCAGGGGAACTGGCCAGGTGGGGAACCCTTCCTGCCGGGCAGGAGCATATCCGGTGAGAGCAGGAGACCACTGGGTAAGGCCTTTCTGGAGGCTCAAAGATGTCAACACTACACTTGATGTTCTAGGTCTTACAAAGGGGCGTAAATGGTTTGGCTGAAACTGAGTGGCGTGGGCTGCCCCAGGGGCCACATCTCCTGCTGTCAGTAACAGGAGAACGTGACAGCAGCTTCTGACTCTAAAAGAGCTGCAGGCTGTATGCCGTCAAGAGCAACACCTGATTATCTTCCGTTTGTCTTAAAACCATGAACAGGCGTGACCCTGAAACTTCAAGGTCACAGCCATGCAAGGGGCCCAAAGACCTCTGGGAAATCCCGGCAGTGGCGCCTTTCTGTTGAAAAAGCTGACATGGCCAGGGCCCTCTGAGTCTGGACACAGCCCACGGCCAGCAGGCATCTCGGCAGGAAACCGTCTGTGGTCGTCCGCCGGTGGTATGGAGGGCCTGGCTGTGCTCTGTAAGAGACTGCATGGCACCGTCTCTGATGCCACTGACAGGCCAACTGCCGCTGCTTGGCATCCACAGGGTTCGGCAGATTTCAGATGGACTGACTCCCCATCCCCGCCTCCCCGAGCTACGGACAAACCCCGGTCAAGTACCAAGGGCAGGTTTTCACGTGTGCATTCACACACAGCAGTCGGGAGGGTGGGCTGTGTTCACCACGGAGCCCAGCCCGGCGAGTCTCCAAGGCTGTGGTGGTCACACCATGTTAAAAGGGTGCTGGCTGGTGCGAGCAGCTTGCACTCGGCTGGGAACCGAAAGGCTGGTGGTTCAAACCATCTAGTGGTGTCATGGAGATAAGGCCCGGTCACGCCTCTGTGAAGATCACGTCCCTCAAACTCCGTGGAATCCAGCTTGATGCTGCAACACACGGGGGTGCCACAGTCAGAGCCAGCCCAAGGGCAGTGGGTCCGGACTGGTTCTACTTTGCACTGTGTGAAGGGTGAACTTTATTTTTAATGCAACTGCAGCCCCTACTTGCCCTCCCCAGCATGACTGACGTGAGCTTGGGCCAAGCCCAGGGCTTGGGTGTGGGTGGCACATCTTGTGGGCAGGGAAGGAGCAGGTGGACCGGTCCCAGGATGTCTCTCCACCCCTCACCCCTTACCCCTGCATGTGCCAGGGTATGCAAGAACACTGCTCATTGTGGGAATTAGGCCCCAGGAGCTTCCAGAAGGGCCCAGGGTGCCTGAGATGGGTGGGTCCGGGCACCTGGCCAGGCCTGACTCTGGAGGGGAGCCTCGTGGTTTTGTAAGAGATGCCATCGGGTGGACCCTGACTCACTGTGCCCCACGTGCAGGGTGGACCTGTGCCCCACGTACAGGGCAGGCCTCTGCCTCACATGCCAGGTGGACCCCCTGGGTTCTCAGTGGATCTTTTGGGAAGCGGATCAGGTCTTTCTTCCACAGTGGCTCCAGGTGGACTGGAACCTCTAGCCTTTCGCTGAGCAGCTAAGCGACAGCCCAGGGACAGTTAAGGCTTCGTCCCTCCAGTGCACATAAAACCAAAACACCCACTGCTATAGCATCAATTCCCATCTATAGCCATCCTGTGAAACAGAGTAAAACTGCCCACAGGGTCTCCAAGGCTGTCAATCTTCACAGAAGCAAAGCCCAAACCACACCCACTGCCATGGAGTCCATTCTGACCCACAGCGCCCCTAGAGGACAGAGTGGAACTGCCCACAGGGTCTCCAAGGCTGTCAATCTTCACAGAAGCAAAGCCCAAACCAAACCCACTGCCATGGAGTTGATTCTGACCCACAGCGCCCCTAGAGGACAGAGTGGAACTGCCACAGGGTCTCCAAGGCTGCAACCTTTGTGTGTGTGTTTATGTGTGTGTGTGACTTGGGTAAAAGTTTACAGAGCAAATTCACTTTTCATACAGCAGCTCACATGTACGTTGTCTCATGACATCAACTACAATTTACCACAATGCAACAGCTCCCCTCCCACTTCCTCTCCATAGTTACCTCTTCCCTGTGTCCTTCCCTCCATGCACTCCTGCCCCGAGCTGCCTCCCTGTGCATACACACCCATTCTAATCTCCCATGATTGAGCTCTCCAAGGAGCGTATCTACCTAATGTAATGTTCACCTCATATGCCTGTCTTCTGTTTGTCTGGAAGCCACAGGTGTAGGTTCGATTCCAAACCTGGAGGGCAGCTAGGGGCATAGTCTCAGTGGTTCCATCAGGCTCTATCAGACCAGCAAACCTGGTCCCCACCTCTTTTTTTTTTAATGATTTTGAGTTTTGTTCCACATTGTTCTCCCACTCTATCCAGGATCTCCTACATAGATCCCTCTCCAAGTGGTTGACAGTGGTAGCCAGACACCATCCAGTTCTTCTGGTCTCATAGTCATATAGCCTGCAGGTTGCATGGTGTACCAGTCCCTTGGACTAATTGCTTCTATGTGTCTTTGGTTTTCTTCATTCTTTGCTCTGGATGAGGAGAGACCCATTGCTGCATCTAGATAGCTGCTCACAAGCTTTTAAGACCCCAGTCGCTACTTGCCAAAGTAGGACGTGGAACAATGTTTTGTGTAGTATGTTATGTCAATTGAGCATTATGTCCCCTGAGACCATGAGTCCGAGCCCACGGGTCCAACTGCTCACTCCCTCTGGGTAGCTGGCTGTGCCCAAGAAGTGACCACAACCCAAGGCTGCCATCTTTACAAAAACAGACTGCCTCATGTGTCTCCGACAGAGCAGATGGCAGGTTTGAACTGCTGACGTTTTGGTTAACAGCCAAGCACTTAACCACTGTGCCACCACAGCTCCCTGTGGTACACAATAAACCAAAAAAAAACTCACACTCGATTCTGATTCATAGCAACCCCACAGGGTTTCCAAGGCTGTCAATTTTTACGGAAGCAGACTGCCTCACCTTTATTCCATGGAGCAGCTGGTGGGTTTGAACCACCGACCTTATAGTTAGTAGCCGATGCCTTAACCACGGTGCCAGCAGAGCTCCCCCTGGTCCACAACAGGAACTCAGTAAATACCTATCATCTGGGTGAGTGGAGCAGCCTTGGCAGCCATCCTGTGACCTCAGGGACAAACTTCCTGAGGAGACAGCACCTGGCTCAGGTGTGCCACACGGTTCCCTGGGCGCCCCTTGGTCAGCCACATGAGCCAACAAGTGCCCTTCCACCTTAGCCACTTTGGGATTCCTTTTTCCCATTGCTTGGAAGAATCCTAATGAAGATGGGATTTTTATTTTTGTAGCATAAAAATGATTTCTCCCCAGCAAAGAGCAGCCCTACCCTATAGACAACAGAGTCATCTCACCTTATAGCATGACCTTCCTGTCAGATAAACAGTGTAAAACATGAGCCTAGAAAAATCAGCAGCCCGAGTGTGTCTCCTAACATAGTGACAAACTCCACTGCGTTTCGGTGACATAAAGAAATGGGGAACTGAGGGAGGAAGTGGGGAGAGTGCTTCCACATGGCAGGGACTGCAATGGCCATTGCAAAACACAATGTGTGTGAATTACAGGATGGAACACCAGTGTGCTCCGTAAACTTTCACGCAGATCACAACTGGAAGTGGGGGGGAAACCTACGTAGACCTATTGTAGGCCACGAATAACATGTGAAATCAAAGCAGAGAAGCTATATTATGAAGGTGGTTGACTTTGGCAGAAATGGACATGTTTTCCCCAGTCTCAGAGCTTCCGGCGGCATCAACAGTTTGCAGCCTGACTTTGGGCTCTTTGTGGTTCTGGCAGCAACTACAAAGAAAATGACCCTGAGTCCCTGACACCCACTCTTTCCCAAAAGAGAGTAACTTCTCCCTAGCA